AACATCACCAATTCGCTGTAGAGAAAGAATGATGCTACGAACATCTCCTTGGTTGTCAGTCAAGCCACTCGCGAATGCAAGACTGCCTCATCTGCTTGCGTCTGATGATTCTGCCGTGGTGATACAGCCCTGTACTCTCAGACTTGGAACCTCCACAACGTATCTACCAGACAGATCACTTTCCAGGTGTTTCGACTACCAGAAACAAGTTCCTGTGCTATTCCATGGCTCGTTATTCAACACACTGGGAACCATCCTACTGTATCTGGTGAGATCCTTCCCCACTGAATGTAACAAACATTTTCTACTCCTATGTTCCATGTTGCAAATTCTTGTACCTGAAGTGACGATAGGTAATGGTACCTTATTTAAGAGTTGTATATTTGAGACGCTAATTATAGCCGTCTTAATAACATTATTTTTTGTTGGGCAAGGCCGTGGTCTAGGCAGCCCGGAGTTTTCCTCCGTGGCATCCCAACAATTACTCCATACACACAGAAGAAGGCAATGGCAAACCACTTCTGGATCATCTGCCAAGAACGTATATGAACAGGTCCCAGTCCGAGAAAAGGATGGAAGGATCCTGTTCATATGGACCTTTCGTCAGACAGAACACTAAATAAATAAATAAAATTTGCAGAACCGAAATTACTGGGCATAATTTGTTCTTATCTTACTGTGAGTATTAAATCTGAGAAGCCTGACAAAAGGACATTCTGTCTTATGTCTGTTGAACGAATTTAAGAAATGTAAGCATACCGTAACAATTCTGCCCGCATTCGTGAGAATTCCACCTTTGACCTTTAACCAAGGTAACAATAACAACCGAGTTACCTTGAATATTCCCCACTCACTCTCTTCGGCATGTAAAACGTACTTTTTTCGAAATTATATCACCAGATTACTCGAGGATGGGGCAGTAACCTCTCATGGGGTGATGAGAAAAGATGGGTTCCAACTACAGTAAAATGCAGGCCTACTACACAATTCCCACGTTCACTCTCTCTCTATTGCTACAGTTTAAACAGGAAAAACAAGTGATAGTCTTTACTTCCGCTATCTTTTCCCACAATTACGTACCAACAACTGCTAAGTAAGAGGATTCTCAGTCAGTGATCTTGCTACAGCTGACGGGAAATCTCTTCCGGCTTTGGTCGACCGTAAGTTTGCAGACGCACTTAGCACAGCGTCCAATCTAGTTGTGTCACGTGCGAGTACAACGAAGGAGAAAGATGACATGGGCTTTAACTTCACGTACAGAGCTTCAGCGTGCGAAACATGGACAAATCAGGACGAATAGTTAATGACGTCAGTAAAACTAAAAACTGCTGGTACCTTACAACAACCTGCCACGGTGGTCTAGCGGTTAGAACGCTGGCCTTGTAATCCTGGGGTCTCGGGTTCGATTCCCGGCGGTGCCCGAATTTATAACTTGTGTTGGGCAAGGCCGTGGTCTAGGCAACACGGAGTTTTCCTCCGTGGCATCCAAACAATTACTCCATTCACACACAGAAGAAGGCAATGGCAAACCACTTCTGGATCATCTGCCAAGAACGTATATGAACAGGTCCCAGTCCGAGAAAAGGATGGAAGGATCCTGTTCATATGGACCTGTCGTCAGACAGAACACTAAAAAAACCCTACGACAGGACGGCTCAAGAGAACGAAAAGCCTGAAGAGGAAATGGCCATGAACAAAAGAATCTCGTATGACAACGCCCAAAACTGCCGAGCCTTAACCCACGCCTTGGAAACCGAAGACAAGCCGCTCACCTGAACCTGGGACGGAAGTGGTGTTGGTCTGTTCAGCGTCCTCTCGATCATCCACGACGACATACAACCTCGGGTTGCGGTTCACAGTGTCCAAATGGGCTGGAACCTCGTTTTCCACAATATGAGGATTCCAGCCCTTGTGTGTGAATGCGTAGATACTCCCTAGATCAGCCCTCAGTAAACTGTCCTCCCTGCCCACTGAAACAGCAAACAACTCGATATCAATGCATTTTAAATTGAATTAGGACACCCCACGCCGATCTAACTTCTACGAAAAGAACATGAGAATAAGTGATAAAGAGAACTTTTGAATCCATGGAAGAAGACGTAAGAGGACAAAGAAAATTGCATAATCAGAAGCTTAATATTTTTCATTCTTCACTTAATAATACAGTTAAACCTCGGTTCACGAACTTAATTCGTTCCTGAAGGTCGTTCGTAAACTGAATTGTTCGTGATTCGAGGCGTTCGTGATCCGAGGCGTTCGTGAACCGAGGCGTTCGTGAACCGAGGTTTGACTGTATTAGTAGGATGAGTCAGATTGGATGTTATAAGCGGGACACACAAAAACAAATGCGGGTAATTTCTTGATCGGGAAGAACGGAGTAAAACCTGAGTCATGATAACCGGACTGCGGACAAATATATAAAGCTAGGACCTCCCGAGTATAAGTCTGGAGCGTTTCTGACAGACTAACCAAAGATACGGAGCCAGACAAATGACTGGCGAGTCGTATTTGGTCCCCGGAAATGATCAAGATGGATTTGACTACGTATTTCTCTGTTTGATCAGCTGGGCGCCAAGAGACTGCTCGTACATGAGGTGTGCTCAAGTGTTTGTGACGACGGTTTGGGTAGTCCATCTGCAGAGCTATCGTTACACAGCTTTGCCACAAGATATTTTAAAGTAATGCAATTTGGTTTTAATAATGCTACACGTTCTCCTCTATGATCAAAGCTTGTTCATTAAAATGGTCATTAAAGCGTTCATACTTATGTCAAACCATGTTTAGATTTATAAAATCACAGAGTGGGACATCGTTTACCTTCTTATTCTACCAAGAGTCTCCAATACTATTTTATATGAGAATTGCTTGCAATTAAAAGCTAAAATTTACAACATTAAAACAGCCGTTAATATTTATATCCCAAGACAGATAAATCCAAAATATATTATCATATACTTTCTTTAATTATCATATTAATATTACGACACCTTCCGCTTTAGACCGAGGTCTCCATAATGGTCCCTTCCCTTAAGATTTCTGACTAACATTTTTAACGCAGTTATTTCACGACAGTATTTTTCAAAAGAGTATAAATTGTGAAGTTTCTTTCATTACGAATTTCCTCACATTTAAAACCCTTCTGCCATTTTATGAAATTTTAAAGTTGATTTCTTAATAAATTTAGTTCATAAACTGTTATGGAAATAAAATAAGGTAGGCTTTTCTTTAGAGAAGCAAGGAACCAGTTCACATTTCGGGACCCTTATTAACGTAACGCAGTACAATAGAAATTGCAGACACTCCAATCTGAAGTTGATCGGATGGAACCAGTTGTCGACATAAAAGATCACAGAAGGTGGATCCCGTAACGTTGCCCCCACGAACAGTTACTTGGTTCCCAACGTAATCTCGCACGCAGTCTCCCAGATTTTCCACTACACATCTACCAAATTCTCATGAAACAGGAAGACGTGTGTACATTCACGATGTGCCTTTAACTGTATTTTGAATTACTAATTATACAGCAGGAGGTAACGGTCGGGAAGTGCCCAGTTCGAATACCGTCTACAAGCCTACCAAATTAACTTCCTCGTTTCTCCAAAGGCGAGGGCCACAATCTCCTGCTTCCAAATTCCTGCCTGCCTAACATTCGTGATCATCTTATTTCATGCGAAGTTGCACCTAACGGGGACCAGCGTGTCACCTTTCATTAAATTTTAAAGTGAAAAATATTTTGTCATCCCAAAGCTCGGATCGTAATTCTACGTAGATCTACCTAAAATGTCTCTTCGCTGAAATAAAGACGTCAACTTAATGTGTAGTTTCAAAGGACAGGAACAAACAGTATTTACACAGATTTCTGTCACTTTTTTCAAAAAATGTGATTCTCGTTTTTCCTTGTCTCATATTGCCAAGGTAATTAAATCAAAATGTTTATCATGAGCATGGCACGTAAGAGGGCAGATGGAGAGTCAGAATTGCAGGGCCGAGAACACTGGAGGATAACATTAAGATGGGTAGTTGGGAGATAGGCCGCGAATGTGGAAAGCGATAAACCTGTTTCATGATCATATACAATGGTGAACTTTGATACTGACTATCGAGTTCTGCTATCACAACGTTCGTTCGTTCACTATTCGCCTTATCGAAAAAAAAAATATTTCGTCCTGATAAAGACTACACTTGATGCTGCTGTGTACATTTCTTACATTATGACCTCGACATACGAACACGTTACCCCTATTATGAGTTAATTTCGTGTAATTAGTGTACATAGAGCCACGGTGGTCTAGCGGTTAGAACGCTGGCCTTGTAATCCTGGGGGTCTCGGGTTCGATTCCCGGCGGTGCCCGAATTTATAACTTGTGTTGGGCAAGGCCGTGGTCTAGGCAACACGGAGTTTTCCTCCGTGGCATCCCAACAATTACTCCATTCACACACAGAAGAAGGCAATGGCAAACCACTTCTGGATCATCTGCCAAGAACGTATATGAACAGGTCCCAGTCCGAGAAAAGGATGGAAGGATCCTGTTCATATGGACCTGTCGTCAGACAGAACATTAAATAAATAAATAAAATAGTGTACATAAAGCTTAAAAATGTTCAAGTAACTTTCCCGGGTGTAACAAGTACCGCGAAGGAAGTACAATTATGCAGAACTGTATAATTGGTTACCAAAGAACCAACGAATCAGCAGTGGTTCAGTAACAACGAACTCAGTTTCTCCTACAAATTCGTCTTAATAACAACCGCTAATATTGCAAAACATCTTTGTGTGTCGGCAAACAACTGACATGTTCTCCTTTCCGACAGATTTATCAACTCGATTTCTGTTTGAAGAACAAAAAAGATACTTCTTGTGAGGCCAACACCCCCACACTCTAATTTCTTCTCTTCAATTAGGAAGTCAGTGTTTCGCCTAGAAGGTGATGTAACTAGATTTGTATTCAGGAGGTATCTGGCTCTAATCTCGACCGGGATACCCCAGCCATCTTGATTTCTTCCCGTGGTCGTCCACAGTGTCGGACTCATTAAGGCAATGAAGGGACAGAACCCGTGACGTTGTCAACACTGGAGTACTTCCGCCCAGAGTAAGACACCAACACCTGCTGGGCGGAAGTGTCTTGTGTTGTTACAAGAATCACGTGACCACTTAAATCACCTTATTTCCGGTGAAACACACGACTAACCGCTTTCAAGAAACTCAGTTCAGCTGTTCTTATAATGGATCAAAATTAAATTACCCTAAAAACCTTTAGTGCATACACACCAATACCAAGTTTAATCAAAATCGACTGAGTAGCTATACGAGGATTAAATATGCCAGACGGATGCAATACAACTTCCTCTCCATTTTATGTACTTTCTAAAACAAACCATACTGAGTTTAAAGTAATTTATGTAATATATCCTCACATTATAACGCCACGGTGGTCTAGCGGTTAGAACAACGGCCTTGTAATCCTGGGGTCTCGGGTTCGATTCCCGGCGGTGCCAGAATTTATAACTTATGTTGGGCAAGGCCGTGGTCTAGGCAACACGGAGTTTTCCTCCGGGGGCTTCCCCGGTTTCTCCGTGGCATCCCAACAATTACCCCATTCACACACAGAAGAAGGCAATGGCAAACCACTTCTGGATCATCTGCCAAGAACGTATATGAACAGGTCCCAGTCCGAGAAAAGGATGGAAGGAACCTGTTCATATGGACCTGTCCTAAGACAGAACACTAAATCAATAAATAATAGGTTAGGTTAGAACGCTGGCCTTGTAATCCTGGGGTCTCGGGTTCGATTCCCGGCGGTGCCAGAATTTATAACTTATGTTGGGCAAGGCCGTGGTCTAGGCAACACGGAGTTTTCCTCCGGGGGCTTCCCCGGTTTCTCCGTGGCATCCCAACAATTACTCCATTCACACACAGAAGAAGGCAATGGCAAACCACTTCTGGATCATCTGCCAAGAACGTATATGAACAGGTCCCAGTCCGAGAAAAGGATGGAAGGACCCTGTTCATATGGACCTGTTGTCAGACAGAACACTAAATAAAAAAAATCCTCACAGTATTCAAAACTGGATCTACACACAGTGAGAAACCACAAACGTATTTGATACAGATGTTCATTCACTCGGATATGAGTTCTGTCGTGTGCCGATTAGGGGGTGTCTGATTAAACGCAATATTTTTAACCTTTTGTGACATCAGTATAAGATAAACACGTTGGTTTTAGCTGTAAGTTATTAGCAATGACTTTAAGAAGAACCTTCTCAAAGACAAGACTCCCTTTTAGTGTGTTTCGGGGTTCAATGTTATCAGGAGTCTGGCGGGATAAAGTCTGGAGATCGCGGTGGCCATAGACCACGTCTTACACTGAGCTCGCCAAAGAACGATTGCAGTAAAACAGTTTGGATTATCAATGTCGGCCGCAGCCAATTGATGTTGAGACCAGCAATCCCGGCCGCTGGACATGTTCTCCGTCCCAGACACTTCCAGTGTCCCAAAATTCTGTTAATCTTTGTCTTACACGGGTGGGTACTTGTTTCTCAGGACACGCAACGCTGAATGCTTCGCGAACAGTGGCAAATGGTTTCAATGCGAAGCGATGTTCTTCACCTGGCGTGGGGATCGGCCAAGCAACCAGCGTGGCTTTGTAGCGAGGGAAGCTGTGAGAGTCTATTACCCGAGGGTAAGCCTGCGTCGGCTTCTGATTTAATTTTAGTGGTGGTGATTGCTACTGGGAAGAGTTTTAAATGAACATCGTGCATTACAAAATCTTAGACGCTTAAACAAAAAAGGCGCTGCTTTGAACAATGCATTGCAAGATCGAAGGTCATAGAACAAGGTTAGCAACTAGGTATTTCCACTTGTCATTCCTACAATTCTGTTGTCATCAGTCTAAGTTTGTCAGTGAGTAAAGAACATGGTTTGAAAATTTTCTTTACATTACGTCATACCTTGTAAGTTACCTAATACGTG